TATTTAGATTACAAAGATAACAAAATAAAGAAATATATAATTTACCTGCCACACGGGGTCGAGGCCCATGACGTACGGCGCCTGCGCGTAGTCCTCGGTGGCCGGGTCCATGGTCACGTGCCTGCTGCTGTCGATGATGGGGTCGTGTGCGATACGCGTGGCGTTCCACGACGACCCGAAGATGTTCATGGACAGGGAGAAGACGTCGTTGTAGATGAGGCCGGTGTAGATGGAGAAGACACCCATCATGAGGATGATGTAGCGACCGCCGAAGAAGATGGTCCAGATCTGCCATGGTGAATTATGTTAACATGCTAATAGGGACCCCGAGGTATTCACAACCGTGAGGTACTCTTATCCACAGGAACTCATAGAAGGTCCATGCATGTACCCACTATGGAACTCATAGTGGGTGTCCAGAACCTTCTGAGGTGGACATGATATTTGTACCCCATTCCAGCAGGACACGTAGTACGAGTACACGAACGTTCTGAACGAAGAGAGACCTACCTCGCCGCCTCCCTTGACCTGCGACAACTTCTTCTCCCAAATGCAGAGGTAGGCGGCGAACAGGGTGACGATGAGGCCGTGGCCCAGGTCGCCGAACATGACGGCGAACAGGAACGGGAAGGTGACGATGGTGTACAGGGCTGCCAAACACCAAACACAACATTTTTTCCCTTTCTCCCACCATAACTTGCACAGCACCAGAACTCACGCAAGGCCACGGTCGCCTACCTGGGTTCACCTCCCGGTAGCTGGTGACGGCGTACGCGTCGACGAGCGCCTGGAAGCCCGCCGTGAACTTGTTCGTCCTGATGAAGGTCGGCGGGTTCTCGGCCGTCTCAATGATGTTGACGAACGACTGGATCGAGCTGCCGACGGCTTTCTGTCGGACAAGTATTCTGTCGGACAACAGGGTCTCCAACCACAAGTAATACGAAATGTCACAGCAAAAGTAAAAAGTCCGCGTCGTGATAAAAAAAAACTCGTCGTTTCGTTGCATTGTGACTTTCGTGAACTTGTGCATCTTTATATGTTTCGACGTGCACTACTTACTCCACCGTCGGCCAGAGCGTCGCGAACCAGGCCCAGGTCAGCGTACGGCACCCAGCACTCGCCGATCTGACACTTCTTCGTGACGTCCATGTTGAACATGTTGAGCGTGTGGTAGATGGCCTTGGTCTTGCGCACCATCACCATCCACTTGGTGACCTCTTTGCCCACGGAGAGCAGCACGCGATGCCTGTGGTCCTGCGTCTGGTTGAGGACCATGTTGAGGTCCTCCAGCTGCGTGCGTATCTGGGCCAGCTTCTCCTTGCGTTCGGCGGCCGAGCTCGGGCAGTGGTAGGTGCTCGCGTGGAAGCCCGCGCACACCTTCTTTACCCGCGCCTGAAAAGCATAAGGGAAATAGGCTTCAACTTCGGCGAATTAATTTATGAACTTTGGTGAACTTTCAACGAATTTTTTGTGGACTAAATCATGAACTTCGGAAAACTTCACGAACTTCACGAACTTCAGTCAACTCAGTCAACTTCAACAAATTTTTGTGAACTTCAACCATGAACTTCGGCCAACTTCGGCTTCAGTGTACCCGGTGTAACTGTGTATACGCAGCAGTGCTGCGGGTTTGCCTACCCTTTACCCGTAAGGGGCCATGGCCCCTGCGGCCATACTGAGTTTGTAATTCCGCAACACGGCTGCTTCTTCACAGTTACACCCGGTACATGGTCCTATAGCGGGTGCCGCGCTCGTTCGTTAAACCGTACTGGATGCAGGCGTGCGGACAAGTTACATATTCGCACGGGGACGTAAAGCGCCTTGGTGAGGCTTGAAAGGCAAGCTCGAGCGCACGCCGCATCCGGTACAGTGTAACCCTCGGTGTATAAACAGAAGACGGGCCACCCTCAGAGCAGCCTGTGTGCCCTTCGGTCCCCTTGCCTTGAGGTTCTCGCCCTGGAAGAAGACGACGAACACCGTCTTGTGGAACTTGTTGCCCGTGGCGGGGTCCTCGATGAGCTCGTCGAGCTCGGCCTGGCGCAGGAACACGTTGCCGCGGGAGACGCGCCACAGCATGCGCTCGAAGCCGGGCACGCGCTCGCGCTGGATGACCCCGGCGATGAACCTGGCGGGGCAGAGAGGGGAGCGGCGGGGTCGGTCCAGTCCGGGGCGTGGGCGCGAGGGGCCGGCGGAGAGGAAACCGAACCGAACGAGCGACACGCGTCCGTTTCAAAACTAAAACTTTAGCAAATATTGAATAGGGCTCTTATTTGTACCCGGGTACCCGCAAAACCCGCTTACCCGGGCACCCGGGTAGGAACCGTGTCGACGGGTTTTCCCGGGTAGACGGGTTTTCGCGGGTACCCGGCGTATTACCCGGCTGCCCCGCGCCTAAAGGTAGGCAATTTGACACACGAGCATGTCAAATTGCCTACTTGCAGGCGCGGTTCCACCGGGTTTACCCGGGTACCCCGGGTACCCGGGAAAACCCGTTGACCCGGTTCCTACCCGGGTTGCCCGGGTACCCACGGGTCGGGTTTTTAAGAGCCTTAATATTGAAAAAGTGTGCGGAAAAGTTTGGTACTTCATCTAAAAAGCAATTGACATTCTTTTGCCATTTTGTGCATTGGCCATTTAGCTATCTGTCAAAACTTAACAAGGGTTGAACAAAATGTGTGGCAAATTAATTGACTCACGACATTTTTTCATTTTTTTTGAAAAGAATAAGTGTCTTTTTGTCGCTGTCAGTTTTCGTTTCCTCTGCGCGATGCGGTAGTGGTACCCACCCGAGTCGGCCTCGGTCGTCGCCGCCAATGAGCGCACGGCTCGAGTCTGACTCCTCTTGCTGAAACACAAATGGTGCAGCTGGAAAAAGACAATATTCCTGCGCTGGCTGTAGTCCGTCTGTGCTGCGGCCCCCCGGCAGCTCAGGGGGGGCCTCGACGTCATGGTGCAGGAGCGAGTCGTCGCGTCGTCGGCCCTTACCTCCGTCAGGAACACCTGCGCCTTCTCCAAGACGTGCCTCAGTTCCTGCAGCTCGACGAAGTTGGACTTGAGGTTGACGGCGTTCTGGCTGAGCTGCACGATCTCGTTCTCCGTCTTCTCCAGGTTGGCCTCGAGGTCGATGATCTCGCGCGGGTTGGGCGCCTTGGGCACGACCTGCGGATCGGGCAGGGCGATGCCGTTCTCGCGCACCGCCGCCTCGATGTAGCGCAGCTTGCGCTCCAGCTCGTCGCAGCGCCGCACCTCGCCCACGTACTTGCGGAGGAACATGTTCACGTTCGCGTTCAGCTGGAAAAACAGAAGGGGCGGCTTGATGAACGAAATATGTTCCAATGAGAGCATCATTTAAAGTCACTTATCAGAAGTCGTAGTACGTACGTCTCTGAACTGCACGATGCCCAGCTCTCCCAGCATGGAGACGGACGAGTAGGCCGCCTCGGGCTGGATGAAGAGCTGGCACAGGGCCATCTCCTCGGAGCGGAAGAGCGCCCCCATGCTGCACGACAGAAAGGTTAAAGTAGTTCACGCTCAAGATCTTGGAATCGTGTGTTCTGTGACCATACGTGTGGTCCCGTGGGACTCAACGTGTTAAACCGGGTGCATAATAATCTTTAACAAGTTAAGTTATCAAACTTTAGTTCTCCGCGAAACGCATGACGGGTTCGCGGGGGGAAGAGGACGAAGGTGGAAAGGGAGACAGGGAGGAAAGGTGGGGGAGGGGGTACTAGGTTAGGAGGGTGTGTCATGGAGGGCTTATTCGGAGTGGGGTGGTACAGGAACACACACAGGCAGGCAAACAACAGATTCATACAACCCCACCCCCCGTAGTACATGTCAATCCCAGCTCGTAGCGTAACAGAGGGGGAGGTTGGGGGGAGGGGGGTGGCACAGCCTAGAATGATGACAAACAGCGCGAGCACAGCAAAGCACGACGCACTGGGGCTGAACTACCTCGCTCGAGGAGAGAAATATATATATAACTGATGGAGAGAATAAAGAACTTGTTTTCTAATCACACCCTGCCCGCCCCAGCGCGGTGAGGTCCTGCTGACGCCCCCACGACGTCCCCGTGACGTGGCGACGCATAACGTGTGACAAGGCCGGGCCGGGCCGATGGCGCGCAGAGCGTAGCGTCGCGTAGCGCACCACGCAGAGCAAACACAGAGCCTCGCCCGGCCTAGGGGGCCTGTTGACACTGGCGCCACCGCGCCGCCCCGCGCCCCGCCCCGCACCGCCCCGCCAGCTGGGCCGAACGTGGATGGAGCATAAGCGTAGCCCTGCATGCTACTACTAACTCGACACTAACTCTGCCCTGCACCATCAGTTGATGCCTGTCTGACACACGGGCCTTTTCTATGTATTGATTTGTGCAACGAAATAATTCAGTAGCTTATTGTTTTCATACCCGTGTCGCCGGCACTCGCAGCCACTCTACATGAAAGGGAGCAGTTTTGTACCAAGCTTAAGAGTCGTTGTGCTTATTTAAATCAGATACAAATTCGTCTCTAGGATTAGATATTAGATATATTTGTTACGATCTCGGTAAAAATTGCATCTCTGACGCATCCTGTCTGATTGAAATACGTACAAGGACACATTGGTGCAGAAATTGCCCCTCTCCAGTGGAGATGAAAGGATTTAGAGGTGAGGGGGAGGGAGAGTCAGCCAGGTGTCCAGTTCTCCCCTCCTAGGCACCCCTCCCCCACTCCTCCATCCGCAGCCTCATCTCAGCGCG